TTCTTTGTACTGCACTGCGGTATTTGTTAGTATATAAATATGTCTCTTAGATACATTTTTTTTCACCTCTAAAACTTGGCACGAGCAGAAGATGGAGAATGATAGTGAGATGCTCCTTGTGGTTAGTAAAATAAAGAGATTCTCAGCTATCTCTAAAAATAATTCCGTGATCTCCATCGTACACATCGAGTGGCATGTCAGGCATTCCAGAATGTGCCCCTCGCCGTGTTTGTGGTCTGTTTTTCCAAGTTCTGTCCTGATTTCTCGGTAATATCCGATCACTGTACTCGCCTGTCAGTTATTTTGGTTGATGCCGTTTGCCCTGAATATTTTTTGGAGTTCCCTCTGCTAGAAGTGGGTTAATGTTGAACTTGTCTCTTTTAGCATGGCAGGAGCCACACATTCCTCTGTTTGTTTATTGTGTATTGTGATCTCCTGTCCCCACAGGGACCTTTCTCCTGACACCAAAGCCTGTGACTAAGATAATGGAGGACAAAGGGCAGCATTGGAAGCTGAGAGCTGTAATTACAGTTTGCCGGCTCTTCCAGGTCCAGCAAGGACTCACTCAGCTTTTATGGTGATGGAGAAAAGGTGGTCTGCACAACCCCGAGGCCAAACAGTGTCACCATCTGAGGCCAAGCGGTGTCACCATCTGAGCCCAAGCACTGTCACCATCTGAGGCCAAGCAGTGTCCACCATCTGAGGACAAGCAGTGTCACCATCTGAGGCCAAGAAGTGCCACCATCTGAGGCCAAGCAGTGTCACCATCTGAGGACAAGCAGTGTCACCATCTGAGGCCAAGAAGTGCCACCATCTGAGGCCAAGCAGTGTCACCATCTGAGGCCAAGAAGTGTCACCATCTGAGGCCAAGAAGTGTCACCATCTGAGGCCAAGCAGTGTCACCATCTGAGGCCAAGCAGTGTCACCATCTGAGGCCAAGAAGTGCCACCATCTGAGGCCAAGCAGTGTCACCATCTGAGGCCAAGAAGTGTCACCATCTGAGGCCAAGCAGTGTCACCATCTGAGGCCAAGCAGTGTCACCATCTGAGGCCAAGAAGTGTCACCATCTGAGGCCAAGCAGTGTCACCATCTGAGGCCAAGCGGTGTCACCATCTGAGGCCAAGCAGTGTCACCATCTGAGGCCCAGCAGTGTCACCATCTGAGGCCAAGCAGTGTCACCATCTGAGGCCAAGCGTGTCACCATCGGGCTGAAGGATGGAAGAACCTGAAGGAACCAGCTCCCCTGACTGTGCAGAATCTGAACACTGCACCCAGGGCATGTAGGTCAAGGTAGGTCACACTTGCACAGGAGAAAACTGCGGCGAAGATGAAAGGCTGGCCGGCATGAACGGGATGTTTCCACCTTGTCGCTGTCATACCAACCGAAGACTTCTCATCTCCCGCAGAGATTTATCTCCATATCTGGTTCTAAGTTTATAAAGTACATTCTAAATGCAGATTCCTCCTGTCACAGTCGTCAACTCTTCTTCTCCAAGGTGACAACAAATGTACCGAAGGAAGGGCATAGCACTGCTCTTCAGAGGAACAGATCGACTTGTCAAAACCGTCTTCTAAAGTTGACAATGACAGGATCTCAATTTGCTCTGCATTCCTTCTTCTCTAATTAAAAGTGTCCTTTCCTTATTTTGTGTTGGCTTTTTTTCTTGTTTTGGAACATGGTACCTTCTGAAGTGATGAACCCAGGGCCGTAACGATGTGATAGGGCCCAAATGCAAAAATATCCTAAGGCTGAGGTTTAATCTGCTTTATTTGCAATTGTATTCTAACTGTGGCACCCGCCTCTGTCAGAATACACAGATCAGCGACTGCAGCCGATTGGGCTGCAGTCACTAAAGCCAACCATAGATGGAGCGATTTTTTTTTTCCTGCAAACTGTGAAAATCGCTTGATTCCCCATCAAAACAGTCAGTATTGATAGGGGAATCCCTCCCAGGGGGCTATTGTGTTCTTCCAGCAGGAGGCAGGGGGAGCCATCCCCTCTGGGAGAACACAGTGATTACTGCTAGCAGCTACAGTGAAGGAAATAACTATTTCCTCCCCTGCTGATTTTGCATGTTTGCCCCTCACAAAGAAATGATCGGTCTAACAATGGAATGTTCGGTGTAACACTGAGAGACAGAATAGCAACAACAAATTCAGCAGAAATGTGTGTCTAACAAATGATGACGGATCTGCATGTTCATGAGGGAAATAAGTGTTTGATCCCCTATCATTCAGCAGGGATTTCTGGCTACCAGGTGTCTTTCATACAGGTAACAAGCTGAGATTAGAAGCAGTCTCCTAAAGGGAGTGCTGCTAATCTCATTTTGTTACCTGTATAAAAGACACCTGTCCCACAGGAACAATCAAACCATCAGATTCCAAACTCTCCACCATGGCAAAGACCAAAGAGCTGTCCAAGGATGTCAGGGACAAGATTGTAAACCTACACAAGGCTGGACTGGGCTACCAAACTATGGCCAAGCAGCTTGGTGAGAAGGTGACAACAGTTGGTGCAATCATTCACAAATGGAAGAAACACAAAACAAGTGTCAGTCTCCCTAGGTCTGGTGCACCATGCAAGATCTCACCTCGTGGAGTGTCAATGATCATGAGAACAGTGAGGAATCATCCCAGAACTACACGTGAGGATCTTGTCAATGATCTCCGGCAGCTGGGACCACAGTCACCAAGAAAACAATTGGTAACACACTACGCCGACAAGGACTGAAATCCTGCAGTGCCCGCAAGGTCCCTCTGCTCAAGAAAGCCCATGTCCAGGCCCGTCTGAAGTTTGCCACTGAACATCTGAATGATGCAGAGGAGGACTGGTGGGAAGTGTTGTGCTCAGAGGAGACCAAAATTAAGCTCTTTGGCATCAACTCAACTCGCCATGTTTGGAGGAGGAGGAAATGCTGCCTATGACCCCAAGAACACCATCCCAACTGTGAAACATGGTGGTGGAGACATTCTGCTTTGGGGGTGTTTTTTCTGCTAAGGGGACAGGACAACTGCACCGCATCAAAGGGACGATGGACGGGGCAATGCACCGTCAAATCTTGGGTGAGAACCTTCTTCCCTCAGCCAGGGCATTGAAAATGGGTCGTGGATGGGTGTTTCAGCATCACAATGACCCAAAACACACGGCCAAGGCAACAAAGGAGTGGCTCAAGAAGAACCACATTAAGGTCCTGGAGTGGCCTAGCCAGTCTCCAGACTTTAATCTGATTGAAGATCTGTGGAGGGAGCTGAAATTTCTAGTTACCAAACGTCAGCCACCAAACCTTAATGACTTGGAGAGGATCTGCCAAGAGGAGTGGGCCAAAATCCCTCCTGAGATGTGTGCGAACCTGGGGGCCAACTACAGGAAACGTCTGACCTTTGAGATTGCCAACAAGGGATTTGCCACCAAGTACTAAGTCATGTTTTTGTGAAGGGGATCAAATCCTTATTTCCCTCATGAACATGCAGATCCGTCATCATTTGTTAGACGCATTTCTGCAGAATTTTTTGTTGCTATTCTGTCTCTCAGTGTTTACAACAGTACACCGAACATTCGATTTTTAAACTCATTTCTTTGTGAGTGGGCGAACATTCAAAATCAACAGGGGATCAAATACGCATTTCCTTCACTGTATAATGACAGCACAATGGCTAAATAGTCAGCACTTCCGACAGGCTGGTTGTACCTAAATTGATCAGCTTAACCATACATGGTTCAAATCTTGGCAGGTCTATGGCTGGCTTTTCCATCATGTTCCTTCCACAGAAGTCGGTCAAATAATCAACTTCTGTTGGCCAGGGACTGCCACACACTGATCAGATTTCAGACTTCCTGGTGAACCAGCAGAAGTTCGATCAGTGTACGGCCAGCTTTAGTTCCTTGGTCTGGAGCTCTCTAATTAGACTTTTCTGTAGCAGGTAATACCCAGGAACCATCTAAGTATAGGGGTTTGTCCCTAAATCTGTTTTTCCCTGAAAATGCCCCCCTCCCAGAGGGGTCCTCTATCCACCATCCAAAACTAACAGCGGATGGCCAGCTTTAGAATCCAAAAATCTTTAATATTGGTGTTGATTCATACAAGAAGACATTAAATTATTAATGCATTTCAGGGGATCAAAGGTCTCCCCCAGTATAGAGTGCTGCTGCTATAGAGTTTCTGGGCATCTTCCACAATTTAGGCACCAAATCATTATTTTCTAGTGACTGAGTCATTAGTGAGCTCTGAAGAAGGAGGAGATCTTCAAAACACATTGGCTGTTTTATGTCCATTTTTTTATTAACCCCTCGCCTACCGGGCACATATACCCCCTTCCTTCCCAGACCAATTCTCAGCTTTCAGCGCTGTCCCAATTTGAATGACAATTGCGCGGTCATGCAACATTGTACTCATATGAAATGTTTATCATTTTTTTCTCACCAATAGAGATTTCTTTTGGTGGTATTTACTCACCGCTGGGTGTTTTATTTTTTGCGCTATAAAAGAAAAAGAGAAAAATTTTGAAAAAGTTTATTTGTTTCTATTATAAAATTTAGCAAACGTAATGTTTTTCCTTCACTGATGTGTGTTGATGAGGCTGCACTGATGGGCACTGATAGGCAGCACTGATGGGCACTGATAGGCAGCACTGATAGGTGGTACTGATAGGCAGCACTGATAGGTGGCACTGATAGGCTGCAGTGATAGGCGGCACTGATGATGGGTACTGATAGGTGGCACTGATAGGCAGCACTGATGAGCTGGCACTAATGATGGGTACTGATCAGGGGTGGACTGACAACTCATGGGGCCCCCGGGCAATAGGGGATCATGCGGCCCCTGTGTCCTTGCCCAAACTCAAAAAAGCCTATGAAAAAGGTACCAGGGGCATCTAATGGGGCCCCCTACTGACCCCAGGCCCTCGGGCAATGCCCGAGTTTCCAAATGGTCAGTCCGCCCCTGGTACTGATATAAGACACTGATAGGCGGCACTGACTGGTGGCACTGCTGGGCTGCACTGATGGGCACTGATGGGTGACATTGGTGGGCACTGGTAGGCACAGGTGGGTGGCACTGCTGGGCACAGGTGGGCGGAACTGGTGGGTGGCACTGCTGGGCACCGATCATCAGGGCACTGATCATCAGATAACATGCCGGGGATGGACACATAGGAGAACATGCCGGGGATGGATACAAGGAGAACATGCCGGGGATGGACACATAGGAGAACATGCCGGGGATGGACACATAGGAGAACGTGCCGGGGATAGACACATAGGATAACATGCCGAAGATGGATACAAGGAGAACATGCCGGGGATGGACACATAGGAGAACATGCTGGGGATGGACACATAGGAGAACATGCCGGGGATGGACACATAGGAGAACATGCCGGGGATGGACACATAGGAGAACATGCCGGGATGGACACACAGGATAACATGCCGGGGATGGACACATAGGAGAACATGCCGGGGATGGACACACAGGATAACATGCCGTGGATGGACACATAGAAGAACATACCGGGGATGGACACATAGGAGAACATGCCGGGGATGGACACATAGGAGAACACGCCGGGGATGGACACATAGGATAACACGCCGGGGATGGACACATAGGAGAACATGCCGGGGATGGACACATAGGAGAACATGCCGGGATGGACACATAGGAGAACATGCCGGGGATGGACACATAGGAGAACATGCCGGGGATGGACACATAGGATAACATGCTGGGGGGTTTGCTGGCTGTAGAAAGAAAACATCAAAAGCCAAAAACAGCCGCTGTAAAAACGTCCCATGTACGACTTAGTCCTCATGCACACGGGACGACTTGATACCGCTGGTAATGTTAGCTGTGCAAAGTCACGTTAAAAAACCTGAGTTTTTTTAGCGTTTTTGCATTAGCGTTTGTCAACGTTTTGCTGCATTTAGTGGCGTTTTTTGTACCTTCGCGGTTTTTAACATTCCCCCCCCAATTGTTTTTTGATCAAAAAAAGTCCAAAAACACCGGCTTGTGGTGTTTTTACCACTTTTTTCTGTGTTTGTGGTTGTTAAAGTTTTTTTTACCCCCCCAATTGTTTTTGGTGAAAAAAAGTTCGGTTTGTGGCGTTTTACCACGTTTATCAGCGTCAGAGCGTTTTTACAGCTAAAAAACTCCTCCAGAAACCCACTAGTCTTTGTACTACTTTGGGGAAGTGATCAGTATTTTTTTTTTTTTTTACACAATTTGTTTATAGCAAAGAATTACTTTGCTATAAGCAAGCATTTACCTGAATGACATCGATTCATTCAGGGGTTTTTTTTTTTTTTTTTGTGCTTAGCTGTGATTTGGCCACAGCTAATCACATGACATGTGCATGTGATCGCTGTGACCATTCACAGCTAGACACTAGTATACAATGGATGGCATGAATGAAGCCATCTGTTGTATACAACTGTCATGTGACCTGCTGTGATTGGTCACAGCAGGTCACATGGTAACGGCAACGGGGGCCGGTACTCAGATCTGTCATCGACCGTGTCCGAGGTACACGGCCGGTGACAGATCGCGCCGCTGTGCGGCTCTGCAAGCGCGAAAACTACACATGTGCAGGAAGACGCCAAATTGCGTCCACCCCGGAAATCTAGTTATCTATTAATCTATTTTTGCGGCAGCCAAACGGCCATTGGCCGGGCGGCAAATGGTTAAAGGAACATCAAAAGTCTTGACTAGTCTAGAAGAAATGTGTTGTCAAATACTAACACCCCCAAAAACATACTTACCCAACTTCCGAAGACCCCCCCATTTCCCAACACTCCCTCCACCAATAAAAGGAGACCACACTTTGTTAGAGTAAAATGGCCTTCGCGGCCTTTTATTAACAATTTTACTTAAATATACAGAAAACATTCCTTGAAACAGAAACCTCCATAAACTTCCGGAATGAGTTGTTGGTCTAGGGCAGGCACCCAAAACAGTACTGATCTCCCCCTGCGGAACCTTCACCTTAATGTTCCTACTAGGCCTCCAGCAGCAACGCACCGACTCGGAGACAAGGACTCACCTTCCGCAGGTAGACCTCCACCTTCCAGTTAAACCTCGGTTAACTGGAATTTACCCGGGCACACCGTACCACAGATGGGTCCCAATCAGGGGTGGACTGACCATTTGGAAACTTGGGCGCTGCCCAAGGGCCCAGGGTCAGTAGGGGGCCCCATGAAATGCCCCTGGTACCTTTTTCATAGGCTTTTTTGAGTTTGGGCAAGAACACAGGGGCCCCATGATCCCCTATTGCCCGGGGCCCCATGAGTTGTCAGTCCGCCCCTGGTCCCAACCATACACTTATCACCACAAACCATTAACAACCTACCAAGACCAACCAGTGCCACCAAACTAAACAAGCCAAAAACAGAACAAACACATATATATATTTATTGAAATATATTGAATACGGCCAATATTGTAGCATTTCAAATATATGTCAATATTTTTGGGGAAGAATATTTTTAAAATCTATTTTGTTTCCATGTGGGAATCTTGACTTCTGCTGTTAAAGTTGAGCTTGGTCCAGCCCCCTCTGCTTCCCTATTGGTCAGTCAGTTCATTTATCACACATAAGGAGATTGAGGTGGAGGAAGATGGAAGGCTCTGACTACATTTATTTCAGGTACTTCTATAGCGCTGACAATTTACACAGCGCTTTACATATATAGTGTACATTCACATCAGTCCCCGCCCCCAAGGAGCGTACAATCTAAGGTTCCTAACTCACATTCATACATACACATACTAGGGACAATTTAGACAGGAGCCAATTCACCTACCAGCATGTCTTTGGAGTGTGGGAGGGAAACTGGGGGTACCCAGAGGAGACCCACACAGGCACAGAGAGAACATGCAAACTCCAGGCAGGTGGTGCCGTGGTTTGGATTTGAACCAACGGCCCTAGTACTACCAAGTGGAAGTGCTGACTATTTAGCCACTGTGCTGCCCACATTTCACTCAATCTGAACAGCTGTTCATCAGGGATGATACTACGGGGAAATTAGCATATCTGTATATTAATAAACACTCACGTCAACGAGGAACAGCAAGACTGTAAAATGCAAAAGTCACACACAGGGGCGGACTGACCATTTGGAAACTCGGGCACCGCCCGAGGGCCCGGGGTCAGTAGGGGGCCCCATGAGATGCCCCTGGTACCTTTTTTTCATAGGCTTTTTTGAGTTTGGGCAAGGACACAGGGGCCCCATGATCCCCTATTGCCCGGGGGGCCCCATGAGTTGTCAGTCCGCCCCTGGTCACACAAACAACTCAGTCCAGATGAATGCACTCAGATGCCCATTGTACAGAATGGAGAGAAGGGGGGAAGACTCTGATTCCAGCTTTGAAGCAGTGAGTTGCTGCCGTACATTGACTGTTAATCATTCAAACACAAATACAGTCCACAGACCTCCCCCCCCCCCCCCCCCCCACCCTGCAATATTTCAGGGTTAATCCCAAATGGGCCTTTTAAATTCCTTTAACTACACACAATCCAATAAATACAAAAAAAACTTAATCCTGAAAATCCCACCAATGAGGGGAATGTGTGAACGGATGGAATTCTTCTGTGGGAGGAAACCTCGGCAGACGTGGTAGAAGGAAGGCCCGTCTGATCCTGAGAGTCTCATCCTACAGAGATTTACAAGGCGGGACACGTAGGGATCAACCAACCGTATGATGTTCTCCAATAAAGTGCCGCTGTCTATGACACCGGCCGCGGGAAATTGCAGAAAACACTTTCTACTGCTGGAAAATCATCGATGTAACCTGAAAAAGTTCTAACAGGATCCATATTATGATAGGTTAACCAATAGTAACACTTAGGGTCAGGGGCGGACTGACAACTCATGGGGCCCCCCCGGGCAATAGGGGATCATGGGGCCCCTGTGTCCTTGCCCAAACTCAAAAAAAAGCCTATGAAAAAGGTATCAGGGGTATCTCATGGGACCCCTACTGACCCTGGGCCCTCGGGCAGTGCCCAAGTCTCCAAAATGGTCAGTCCATCCCTGCTTAGGGTCCTATCACACGGGGGTTCCATTTTTTTTCTTCAGTTCAAGTCACAAAAAGGTGACTTTACATCTGTTTTTTCATCTGTTTACATCCATTTTTTTCATGTTTTTTCATCCGTTTTTTTTACCCATTTACATCCATTTTTTCATTTGTTTTTTCATCCGCTTACATCCATTTTTTCATATGTTTTTTCATCAGTTTTTTTATCCATTTACATCTGTTTTTTCATCTGTTTTTTCATCCGTTTACATCCGTTTTTTTTCATCTGTTTTTTTTTACATTTTTACATCAATTTTTTCATTTGTTTTTTCATCCACTTACATCCATTTTTTCATCTGTTTTTTCATCCGTTTACGTCCAATTTTTCATCTGTTTTTTCATCCTTTTACATCCATTTTTTCATATTTTTTTTTTTTCATTTGTTTTACATCCATTGTTTCATCAGTTTTTTCATCTGTTTTTTCATCCGTTTTTACATTCGTTTTTCACCCGTTCACATTGGTTTACATCTTTTTTCATCCATGTTTCATCTGTTTACATCCGTTTTTGGTCTGTTTACATCTGTTTACATCCGTTGACATCCATTTTTTTTTATTCAGTTCAAGCCACGTTTTTTCAAAGAAAAAAAGGTGAGTTTACATCAGTTTTTTCATCTGTTTACATCAATTTTTCATGCTTTTCATCTGTTTTTTGTCCATTTACATCCGCTTTTTCATCTAGTTTTTCATCCGTTTACATCCATTTTTTCATCTGTTTTTTCATCTGTTTACATCAATTTTTTCAGGGTTTTTTTCATTCGTTTACATCCATTGTTTCATCTGTTTTTTTTCAGCCTTTTTCATTCGTTTACATTGGTTTGCATCCGTTTTTTCATCAGTTTACATCCATTTTTCAGCCGTTTTTAGTCTGTTTACATCCGTTGACATCTGTTTTTCATCCGTTTACATCCGTTGACATCTGTATTTCATCCGTTTACATCTGTTGCCATCCATTTACATCCGTTTTTGGTCCGTTTACATCTGCTGACATCCATTGACATCTGTTTTTCACCCATTCCGGGTTTTTTTGTGGAAGAAAATAAGGTTTTATTTTGTTAAAAAAAATGGATGTTAACAGATGCGGGCTTTAACGGATGTAAAAAGATGTTAATCCGTTTATATCCGCAAGTCCATAGAACTACAAGGGGGTCCGTTTTTCATCCGTAAACGGACAGATGAAAAACAGACATACGGAACGCCCGCGTGAAAGGGGCCTAAGATGAAAATGATTAAGTGAATGTCTCTCGTGGTTCTCATTCTTCCAGGTCATGGTAAATCTAGTAGCAGTTGGTCACATTCAATTGGACTTATTAGGTTGAAGACGTTTCATAGCTAGAACAAGCCACTTCTTTATTTCCAATGAGTGTTGG